AGGAAAGGTCTGTGATCTGTATTCATGGGGTGAGGGAGGGGAGCTGGATGTGGGGGCATTTGCTGACCTGTAATGAAGACCTGAATTTGTTTTGTGGAGTTTTTTTTGTTTTTTTCCCTTTTTCTCTTGTAGCAACAACTACGTATGCGGATCAAGTTGACATATAATCACAAGGGCTCAGCAATGCAGGATCTAGCAGAAGTCAACAACTTCCCCCCTCAGTCTTGGCAGTGAGGCTCTGGCACCATTCTTATACTCACCCCACCCAATCAAAAACTCTGGGAAGAAGGTTGTGATCCTTGGCAATCCCCCAAACTGCACCATGGGCATGGGGAACAGATGAAACCTGCTGATGAGGAGGAATTTTCCTGAAGTGATTGCTGACTTTGAAGCATATCTGTTAAGACTAATCTCTTCTCCTCCGCTGATGAGGCTGGCGGCTTGTGGAAGCTACTGTGCACTCCCTCACACATGCATTCACAGCCAGAAGCAACATTCCCATCTCCCCTCTCCTTCCCTGCCCCCTGCAAAGAAACACCGCCTGGTTGGAAGAGAAGTCTGGAATTTCTAGCAGGGAAACTTTCTTCTCTCTGCAGCAAGTGAACAGCTGACCCTTCTTTCTGCTGTCTTTTTCCCTTGGGGTGGGCAGGGCGTGTTGTCATTCATCAAGCTGGATTCCTTCAGGCACTTTCATCTGGGGCTCAGACTGGGGACTTGGGGAATGTCAGGCTGCCCTGCCTCTGTTGTCTTGTGTCCCCTGTGTCTGGAGGGGCTGGAGGCTTCTTATGGCCTACTCAGTGCATTGTTGTATACACCCACCTCTTTGTTATGTGATACATACCAAGAGCAGGTTAGGCCTTGGGAGCTGACCTACAAACCTGAGACAGAGCAGGAAAATAGGTGCTGGTGAGAGCTGGTAAAATTGCTTTGGTGCTGTACTTGGAAATGAGGACCTTACACTTGAATTTTCTTTCTTTCCATCAGTAGCTACAGCCATGCAGATTCACAGTCTTCTGTTGCTTCCCCAGAAAGTGTGGTGGTGATGTAAGAAATGCAGAGATCCAAGGAGCAGCTAGTTTTCTACCACAGACGGTTCCAAAGCCTTTTAACCCATTAGTTGTGGTTTATGGGTAGAAAAAGACAGCTTCTTAGGTCAGTCTTTGAGCAAGGTCTCTGTTCCTGCTGGGGGACTCATAAGAGACTATGCTGCAAAGTTGTTCTTCCTGGTTATTCCAGACCATCTCCCCAGTTTGATTTCCAGAGCCTGTTGTAGACCCCCCTGGATCCCATTTGACTTACTTCTGAGTGGGATATTTGTGTTGTATCTGTAATATTGGCACTGAAATAAAGACCATGCGGTTTAAAGAGACCGTTTCCCATTTTGTTACTTAACTGATCCTTGTAGTTTGCTCCTTGCTCCCCTTTCAGAAAGATATGCTAGTTCAGATTTAGACTGAAAGTAACAAAACTGTTCTTTGAATAGAAGCCAGTCGTTTGGGTGTTTGGATCCAAAGCTGTGAGGTCCAGTGCTCTTGTAAGCTTACAGAAAGCAGTGTTCAGTTTCCTAGTGGAACTGTTGTCAAGGTGGTACAGTTCTCTGAATTCTCATGGAGGCAACATGTGGACAAAGCTATTCAGATGTTCAGCCCTCTTCAGGGAGGAAGAGGGGAGGATGTATCTTAGATCTTCATGAGTGTGCTGGTAAGTGGAAGGTCCTCCAGCTTGCAGCTCAGTGCTTTCTCAGAAGAAATGGATGGCATGTTTGCTTTATTCTGCCATAGGCCTTTTCCAGACAGTGGTTGTTCAGTGCTCTGGTGGCAAGCTTAGACACAGCTTTTTGCATCTGCAAAAGTGCTAACACTAGACTCCAGTCCTTCCCAAAAACACTGCAAAAGTGGTACTCACTGTAATTAAAGAAAATTTAAGACCTACTGTGCCCTTGAACTGGGAGCAGGAGGCCACCAAAGGTTGTTCAGTCTTCTTTGGTTTTAACTGCATTAAGTAATAGAACATAGGACTGACTGTCACTGACGTAAGTGCTGGTTTAGCTTCTCTTGGAGGGCATTTTTTCTGCCTTATTGATTAAACAGGTTTGGGCCCTTAGACTAGCAAAGGCTTTTATTATTCTACAGAAACTGGTATCAGGGGATTTTAACATCTGGAAGAATGATGTATGATTTCCTAAAAGAATTCTGGGCTATGGCAGGGAGCCTTGGCTGTCGGTGGTGAGATGGATACTGTGATTCAGCTAGAAGAACAAGGCAGGCAGTCTTGCAGAAAGTGGCTGAATTGGAGCCTGTCAGTAGGTGCTGATCATTTACCTTAGTTGCTTTCACTGCAGTTGTGACTGTTCATCACCCCACTAGGTCAAACTCCTTAGTGTTGTAGGCTGAGCATGTTAAACCTAGACTACAGTGAGCTGAGGGTGTTTGAAATATGAAGCTAATGGAGAGTGCCATAGTTCCATAAGCTCTCCCATTCTCCTCACAGAACTATACATGCTCACTTGTAGTGGAAGCTGGCACACCTCAGTCTCCATTTCTTTTTGCTGAGAAAGCACTGGAGTGGGAGATCAGGTGGGGAGAAAGAAGTAGGTGGTCTCTCACCTGGCAGCAGAGTTGAGAACAGCTTATCTTGTCCCTCTTGTTGCACAGTTTTCTGTCCCCTAGAGCAGCTGGGTTTTGTTGGTCTCTGGAAAGCTTGTAGGTAAATTCCTACTGTGTTCTTGGCTCCTTCAGCCACCCTTGCACACGGTTGTCATGTATTCCTGAGTTGAGCTGAAAGAGGTGGTGCATGTATCTGAAATGCATTCTGCTTGAAGCCATCCTTGGGCTATGAAGTACTTCTTGTAGCAGCCAAACATTCCTGTAGAGCTCTTTCCCTTCCCCTTACTGAGGGATGGGGCACTAGCATTATGCCAGAAGGAAGGCCAGGTTTCACACGCTCCTGTCTGCAACACTAGATACCTTTGCTTGCTCCTTCCCCCCTAAGTGCATCTCTAGGTGCTGTGCTGCTGCTTTGTGCTCTGACTGGGGAGCACCCGCGCCCCCAGAGGCGCTCTGAGGGTCTGGCGAGTCTTTCCACCAGTTGGATGCAACAATTCTTGCAAGTCTAGTCAATGTTTTCCTTGCTTTGGTGTAAGGAGAATAAGGGAGCAAGATACCAGGATTCATGGCTAATCTGGCCGATATCTGCATTGGAGACTTTGGAGCTGGGAGAGATTGAATGTCTTGGTTTTTTAAGTGAATGTATTTTGAGTCAAAAAATTACAGAATAGTGGCCATAAGGGGCCTGAAGGGGGAGAAGACACGGGAAGGTCCCAAGATATGACTTTGTTCAGGTTTTGGTGGGACAAAACATGGCCTTGAACAACCTTTTGAAGCAATAGCAGTGAGGGGACTGCCACCTCTACAGGACCGTGGATACATAACGCAGAAGATGCTGAATCAGACGGGAAAGGTGACTTAGTGCCTTGCCCAAGGCTGGTACGAGCTGCAAGATGGAGCAGCAAAGATGGCTTTTCTTTTTTTTTTTTTTTTCTTTTCCAGATCTGCTGGTGTGCTTTCTATGTGTTCATTTTCTACTTGGGGGCTGTGAGGGAAGGAGCTATTGGACTGCTTCCCGCTGAACTTTCACTCTATTCCTGTATATTTCTTTTTCTTTCCTGATGTTGTAATTTACATAGAGCCCCATCCCACCTCTTTGATGGTATAGTAAAAAATAAATTAAAAAAAACCCGAAAAAACACAAAGAAAAGGAACCCCAAACCCAAAACAAAACCCCAACAAACCAGATCAAATTTAAAGTAAAAACATGCCGCTTGAGCAGGGAGCCTGGTGGCATTCAAACTTCTGCAGACCTATTTTTGAGATGTGAAAAATTTAAATAAATGCTGAGTCTTAGGTGAGTGAGGAGCATAACGGATGTAAACATTTACATGGGATGCATTAGACTTCTGCTGTGTGTATTGTCTTTTGGTTGAAACAAATTATGAAGTGACTAATAAAATGAGTCAATATTCAATGATTTAAAACTGTGCCTTGTTGCTTTTTGCAAGTGTGGTGGGGTAGGACTTAGAGATTCTTAGTGCTTGGCCTTACTTATCAGTAAGGGCAGAATTTAAAAAACTTTCCAGGAAATTTTGGATAGCAAAATGAGTAGACAGTTACAAAACAAACAGTTAATGTGAAATAGCACCCTGATGGAGCTTGTCAGTTACTTGCAGCAATGCCTGTCCGGGTGCTAGAATGGTGTGATGAGATCTGAAGACAAATAATTCTTTCCCCTGGTGTTTGCAGCCTGCCCTTGGAGTTGGTTACAGTTCCCTTGCTGATCAAAACATCCCTTTGATACTCAGGGTGTCTCTGGGACAGGGATTGTTGTCATCTCATTGTCCATTAAGGCAATACAGGTGCCTGCTGGAAGGTTCTCCCTCACATTTTCTAGTCATAGTAACATTTTAATAAACTGTAATGTGTTTTCTAGCACATAATTGCACTTGCCTCTGCTAAATCAACTCTCCCCTGTATTGCTACCTCCTTCCTTGATGGAGATTTTCTTGGGGTTATGGTAGTTAAAGAACTACAAAGCTGTAGCTAGAAATGCAGAGAAAATCCAATGAAAAGGTGACTTATTTTTAAAGTTGTTGCAGCATCTGTGCATAGTCTGAGGCATGAAGAACGAGGTGGCCTTTCCTGTGACTGCCTTGGTTTCACGGCACTGGTTAATACAAAGTCTGAGGCAGCAGCTGTAACCTTGCTGGTAACCTTATCTGTCAGTACCTTGTTTTTAGGTAGGAATCTCGTCCTGACACCAGGGACTGGGCCGCAGCCCGAGCCCCCCCGCTCGCGGGGCAGCGGGCGGCAGGTCCCCCGGGACGGGACGGGCTGCGGAGCCTCCCGGGCGTCCTGCGGGGCCACGGGCTCGGCTGGGCCGGGGAGGAGGCGGGAAACGTTAAAGGGAAGCAGATCTTAGAACGGTAAGTGTTTGGCGCAGTAACAATGCCGGTGGGGGGAGTGCTGAGAGCACGTCTGGGCTTAACCCTGAAGTAAGAGCAGGAGTGTGTGTAGGGAGAAGAGAAGCACGATGATGTGCTTGGGACTGCGGGTGATTATGGGGACGGGAAGAGGCTTTTACTGGTTTGTTCACGATGCGGTCGATCCCGCAGGAGCAGCAGCTGCTTCCATCGGG